AAGAGTACCTATGATAAAAATTAGTCTTCTACAAGCTTTGCAAGTGGGAAAACCTGAAAAATCAACAGTGTATCAAATACTTGTTCTCCCCACTGTATAAAGCTCACCTCACTATAAGCTACAAAGTTTAAAAAAACAAACTGGAAACGTACATATAAAAGACGCACTGGACTATTAGCCGCTAGTATCCTAGCCGTTTTCGGTTTTCCACAGCAGAGGGCTGCATCCTTAATAAACGTGCTATTAAGGACTCAGCCCTGCGTCTCCAGCGCCGAACCGTGGATTCGTTCACGCCGAGCTGACCTGCAGCGGCTCCATGTCCCTCCTGACCTCCCAGATCTTCAGCCCTCAACCTAAAAGCTGCATCACATGAACGTCTTCGTGTTTCCATGAGGGGGAATGAGTTTGAAAACATTTCTCCGTCGTGCCTGCTGCTAGCATCTGCTTGTTCTAAATGAAAATCTGCGCTTTCTTCTTTGACTTCCAAGTTTGACTTCCAATGATTCACTTCCTGCTACAGAGCCCCCTGGTGGCTGAAGAAAAATCCACAGAAAAGCCCACCGGGCTATAAGCTGCATGGTTCAAAGCGAGGGGAGGAGGGGAGTCGCAGCTTATACTAATTTATTGCTAATTTAGTATTTTTGTTCCCGCTGCCTCCCAAACTTGGCACTCCAATTAAGTGAACTGTGGTTAGGGTTCTGCAAAGTCTTCAGTAATGCAATTCCACTAGATAAATTGTGAAGAATTTATTTGTAAAACATCCAGAAGAAAGAATAGGCCGACTTGTAAATTCTGTAGCGCTTCGCTTTCAGAGTCGACCAACTTTTACCATGGAAGGTAAGCTATGTGTAAATGTTAGCAAAGCTAGCTAACAGTAGTGATCTGCCTCCAAAATCTTTTATCTGGCCATCACAGAGTCTTAGTCATTGTTAGCTGTTAATAGTAAGCTAGCTACCTGTGTACAGTAAATATTTAGTTTTAGGGTGCTAGTTTGAGTTTCTTGCCAGTTTAATTCACAAGCTAACGCCTCCTAATATTAGCGTAAAGCGCTGGTTCTGATTTGGTCTCAGATTATTTAATGTTAAGTATTATACTGGCCTAAAATGATGCGGTTTTTTGGGCTTCCTTCTTTAAAATGAGGTTGTTTGTTTCTGCAGCTTCAATTCACAACAAACCTTTAATGACTTTATAACAGAAACAGATTGAGTTCCTGAAATGAAACCACACCCCTGTTCCAACCCTGAAGGAAAGTGGGTCTGTCCGGTTCCGTCTGTCCTCTGCTGAGTCCAGCCAGGCGGAGTGGACTGGTCTGCGCAGGGAGAAATCTTGACTCCAGCAGAAGTCAAGGCAGAGTGGGGAAGTATTCTGCTGCCTAACGAGTGAAGATGGACAGGAAGGGACTGGAGATTGTGCTGCTAGTTGGGGATGATTCTCTGGAATGAACACTACTGGAATGTTTGCTTTAATAGATTTGATTAATGACTACTTTTTCTGTAATTTCAGATGTGAAAGGAAGACAGAAATGTCACTTGGCTGAAGATGATGATTTCAGAGATAACCTTCATCTTCTCTCCTCAGAATCTTCTCTTTACTCCATGAACCAGGCGTTTAAATCAACTGATCTACTGCAGCAATAAACAATCAGCGTACCAAATCCTGCAGCTCCTACATCACACTGATATTATTGCAATAACAATCCCATATGTATTTTGCCTCTGTAGCCTCAGGTTGTGCTCCATCTTATCATATTTCCAAATCAGCCCCATTGACTATCACCTGGTTGGAGCAGCTGGAGGTTTTATATTCTAGACACCAGTTTTCTATCCATGCCTGTGGTCTGGGCCCAGTATCTAGCTCCAGTCGTCTTCTCTTCTGCCACAGTGAATCATGTCTGCGCTCAGTCCTCAAGCTTTTCATAAATCTCCTTTCTGCTCCAATTGATCTAGTTTTGGTATTTCATAAATCATTGGATGTAATTATTCTCAGTTCAACCTTTTTTTAAGTTCCCTGTGTTGGCTGAAGAGTGAAGGATGCCGTCCCACATCAGTGTGTGACCAGCCGGCTGTGGTTCTTCCATTCACAGCTCAGGCTCCTCTTGGTTAATTAAATATGAAATCGCTAATATCTCTTTCATCCTCCAAATGACACCAAGCAGAGGTCAGCAGCAGAATCCGGTGAGTTCATGTTCTCCACCCATAGATAACCTCCACATCATTTAAGGGAATAAACTTCCTGTCTTCAGTAAGATTAACTATAGCAGCCCTTTGGGCACAGTTATGGCAAGCTATTTTAACATAAAATGGTCTCCATCTAACGTTCTATAATTACACTCTAGATATTTAAAGTGAGTTTTGACAAGAAAGAACCACAGTTTGACTATCCTGAATTTAATTCATGCATTTACATTTTGACTAGTAATAAGAATAATTCAAAATATCTTCAAGGACATTTTGTCAGGTCAAAATATATTTCCGGATGTCTCGAATGCTGGCACTGGATTTATCATTTGAAGGGGCAAACATCCAGAATTACAATGCAAGATATCTAGAATGTAATTACTGCTCATCAAAATGACATTTTTATATATGAGAATTAAGAACAATGCATACCCTGTGCTGCCCTTGGGCTGTCCAAACAATTGCCTACAGAATTTAGATTTTCTGCACAAAATTGTCAGAAAAAGCTTATCAGTAAATGAGGAGAAAGCAAACTTCACAATGTGAAGACCTTCAGAAATCTGCAGAGAATGTATTTATTTATTCTATTTATTCTCTTCTGATAAACATAATGCACTTAAAATCAGCTTAGTTCTGCTGTCAACCCATTCAGAAGTTGAAACATCTGAATTTTTTCTTGAAATTTCAAAATATCATGTACATCTGGAAAAGCTATGACTAAGCAATAATCATTCTTTATATCATTAATATCACTCTGACTAGTTGGAATGTTAATTCAAGACAAATAGATGTCTGTTAAAGATATCTAATTCATTTGGAACCAAAAATACAGTTCCATCCATAACTCCATCTGTAAGTTAGTTTGCTTCAACATTTCTGCAATTTAATTTGCATTAGTCAAATCTATATAACATCTAAAAATAAATGTACAATAACTTTAATTGGAGGAATAACTAGTCACAGGTAAGGAATCTAGATAAGATATCTCAGTTACTTTAAATTACTTTACAGATAGTAAGTAATTTATTGTAAACATCTTAAACTGAAGCCTCCATGTAACTTCATGGTATATGGATATGGAAAGCCCTCACTGACATTTGGGACACAAAGGTAAGTTAAGGTAATTTTATTTATATAGTGCATTTTCATCAACAAGGCAATTCGAAGTGCTTTACATGAGTTAAAGCAGTCCACTAAGACTATTTAGCAACATTTCTGTTTCACTTTCTTTGATGTTTATTTATATCCATTGTAAATACTTGTTTTGGTTTAAGACCTTTGTAGCCCAATGAGATCTCAACATGTAATGACATAAATGTATTATTATTTAAACTAGTCAGAATGTAATTAGAGAGATCTAAAATATGTATTTTCTCAGTCATGATATAATTAGAAGTGTCTCAATTTGCTAATATGTCTAGTCATTAACCAATTTAAGATATTTTGAATGCAAGCGTGGTGAAACCAACTTTATGTTAAAATGGCCTGCCATACTCTTTGGGCACGTTACCGTCAAGCATCATGGCCGCTTTTCTTTCGGAATCGAAGGTCAGACAAACTTTCACTTCTGATTGGTTCAATTTTTATAGAACCCACCTGCTCTTTCAACCACGTGATCCCCCGCTCCTGTGACTGCCTCTCGCGCCTGCCAGTCAAAGACGCTCCAGCCAATCGGGAGCTCTGTCCTTTGGCTTTACGTCACAGGCGATCACCGGCAGCTAACGCTAGGATCCAAGATGTCCGCGATGTTCCCCATGTGTGTGAGAGCTAGCCGGAGCCTTCTGCGGTTCCAGAGCGGGATGTCAGCTGCTTCCAGCCCGCAGCAAGTGCTGGATGTCATCCGGACTCTGTCCACGGAGAAGAACCCACCCGGTACCGGCGGTGCGACGGGAGGGTTAGCCCAGGCGATCCTCCAGGAGAGGCTTCAGCAGAGTCAGGTGAGGGGCGCTCATTTTGCTCTACAGGCAGTAGCAGCTGCGGAGACAGCGCTGTTCGCGGCCATCTCCGCCCGTCTGAGCTGCTCCTGTGCTAATATTCAAAGCCACTCCTAGCTCCTGTCGGTCTGACATTTAGCTAAACGAGACAGCGCTAATCTTTGGATGTCTGAGCTCATGAGTTGCAGTTCAGGGATAATTAATCTGTCTCTACCCGGTCACCTCCCACTGCTGCTGTTAGCCTCCTGTTAGCTTGCTGTTAGCCTGCTGCTAACCTGCTGGTAGCTGTGTTGTTGGACCGGCTGTGTGTTGTGTCGCAGCAATGAAGCGGCCTCCGCTTTAGATTGTTGGAGATAAATATCCAAGGTTTGTTTGTTGTGAAGGTCAGAGGAGAAGACCCCGCCCGCCTCTCCAACCTCCTCCTCCTCATGGTGGTTTCAAACATGCCCCACATTAAACCTGGGATCGGCAACGGAGCAAGTCTTCATGGGTTTAATGTGATGGTGGAGGAACCCACGAGGTTGTGCTGCAGCCCCGGGTTACCACGGAGGAATCATGGAGCAGTTTGGTTGTCCTCCTCTGGACAGTCCTGGCTTTGTCCCCATCTGCAGAACATCAGCTTCTGGTCAGGCTCTGCACCGGTGGAAACCTGATCATTTCCTCCTTGGTTCTCAAACTGTGGTCCGAGTTGTACCAGTGGTACTTGGGCTGCCACTGGTATTACTTGTGCTGTTGCATCAATCTTCCAGACTTGTCAGGTCTACTGGTTTCTTTTACTGGTTCTGCTCTGCATCCAGAACCAAACATGGAGAAGCAGCTTTCAGCTTCTATGCACCTCAAATCTGGAATAAACTTCCAGAAAACTGAAAAACAGCTGAAACACTGAGTTCCTTTAAATCCAGACTAAAAACCCTTAGTGTGGTTAGAGCTGCTTTTGATTAGTAATAACTGGAACATTGATCAAATATCCTATGATTTTGATGAGGGCACTCATCAAAATGTAATGTTTGTTTCTGGTTTCTCAATTGTGACTGATGTTTTTATGACTTAATTTTGTATTTTTATGATGCAAAACGCTTTGAGCTTCCTTGTTGCGTATTAATAATCTAGACTGATTGGTTCTACTCGACTTGTTTATCTTGGTAAATTGTTTTAGGCGTAGAGGACGGCAGCAGCCCAGGCCCCGCTCTGGGGGCGTACGTATAAAACATGTCCGCCGTCTCCCTAAGCGCTGGACTACAGATGGAGGACGGAGGGTCCAGCAGCAGCTTAAGCTGTGAGACTGAATGTTTGGTTCTGAGCTGCTCAGTAGAACCAGTGGACCAAACCAGTTGGACCAAAGCTTCGTCTGACTGTTTTCCAGGGTCAGCCGCCCCCAGAGGGCGATCCGGGCCAGAAGGACGGAGAGCAGACGGAGGACAGGAAGCAGAAGGAGAACTCGGCCTACGCCAAGAAGATGGTGCTGCGGCTGGCGGGGCTGATGGGAGTGGGCGGGGCCGCCAGCCTCGTCTACATCTTTGGTGAGCGAGGCGTGCAGACAGACGGTCGGTGTCTGGGTTCTGGACAGGCTCTGGACCTAAAGCCTTCAGGCTGTGCATGTGTTTAGGTTCTCTGAGGATGCAGAACATTCTGCTGGTTCTGGAGCTGAACCCAGAAGGTTCTAGTTGGACCGGTTCAAAGAGAGGAGCTTCTGTTCCCGATTAAAGATGCAAACAATTCATCAGCTTACCATTAACTGTTGATTAATGGAGCATTAAAATGAGTTCCAGTCCATTAATAATGTCAGCTTAGTCCTTCTTCTAGTGTTGCAGTTTGGCCTCCGTCCAGCAGGGGCGCTCATCCTCAAGCAGAGAATTTAATACAGAATCCAAGATGGCGGCCATACCAGAGAGCAGAAGAGAAACGGTCCAATTAAAGTCCAGCTCAGGGTGCAAAATGAATTTTCTGTGTTTCTGTTTAGAAATATAAAAACTCAGCAAAATCCTAAACTTCATCTTTTATGAAGCAACTAAAGAGTTTTTCTGTTTTTTTATATTTATAAATATGTCTAATAATTAGAGAAAATCCAAATTTTCAGTTTGTCAGCATTTATCACAGCTGAATCATGTTAAAACTAAATAATGTTTTTGAAGTTCAGCTTATGAACGTTTCTTAGTTCCAGAGAAAACTCAAGTTTTTAAGAATGAATCTTTAGTCGATCAATTAACTTTGATCAGTAACTTGCATCTTTAGTCCGATCCGGCCCGTTTTTCCAGTCAAACTTTTCGGTTCTTATTGAAGTTCTGCTCGGTTCTGGTTCTGAGCAGCTGATGGACTCAGCTTGTCTCAAAAACCTGATAATTTTCTCTGTTCATAAAAATCTTATTCTGCTCAGAACTGAAATGAAATATTTGTTGTCAGATCCGAGTGACCTGATGAGGCGATGTGCTGGAGGAAAGAAGCCCAGCAGGGGGCGCCACACACTCATTATAAGACATGAAGAAGAACGTGAGGATGTTATTGTTGGTCCAGCTCTGTTAAGCTGGTTCCTTAAATATTTTATTGACATGTTTGAGTTTTCTTTTATTCATCCAGCTAAAGCAGAACATTGATGACAGAAATAGCAGCTTATGTACCGTATTTCCTGCACTATAAGGTGCACCCAAAAACCTTCAGTGCCCCTTATATATGGACCAACATTGAGCCACAACAGGTCTAGCAACTACGGTAAGCAGCCACTGACTTCATTTTCGCCCGTAGAAGAAGAAGCTTTTGCATGCTGGGATAGTTGTCAGAACGCTGGTTTGTTAATAAAGTCTGACTGACCCATCTACCTACCGACCGTCTAGAATCGGGTCGTCTGCAGGTCGTTTAGCACCAGGTTCTCCACCAACATGCTGTGGGCGAACGGAGAAGGGTGGCCATCGTCCGGCCCAGGAAGGCTTTCCTCACCGACTGGAGTCGGACTGTTTGGTTGACATTCTTTATGTCAACAAAGTGGCTTTAGACATTCATCCGGGGAGCTTCGACTGGGGTTACCACATGTCTGTGGGTTAGGAAGGGACCAGCCCCTATACCTTTAAACCCAGGG